CGTTGCTTCCCCAGTCAAAACATATCTTCCTTTGTACCTTCCCATTATAGGGATGTTTTCTAAAATACATTGTACTTAGCTAACATATAGTATGCAGCCTGGACATACTATTAGCCAAAAATTCTCCCATTTCTCATTATTTTTAGCTCCTTGGCTGCTGCTGCAGGTACCTCCTGCTGCCTGTAACAGGAAGGGCTGGCAGTCTGCCCTGCAGCAAGACATTTTATTAGAATGTATTCATTTATAAATGCCCAAGTCTGGAAGGACACGTACCCTAACAAAAGGTTATAAAATGCACTGGGATGAGGATGCAGACATCACTTTCAAAGACTGGGCAATTTTCTCTCTCTCTCTCTCTGGCAAGTTAATCAGCAGAGGAGACAGCAGAGGATGCCCCATCAAGGCTGATGCTAAACCTTGAATGCTGTCGCTAAGAAGCTGCCCTGGGCACCGCCGAGGATGGGATGAGATAGATGAGGATCCTGTTCTGCAGCCACACAGGAGGCAGTTGGAGGCGGATGCCAGAAGCTAATGTCAGTGAACAGCTCACTCTCTTAGCATAACAGCTTTCTGTTGCTATACAAATAAAAGAGGTGTGTATACATACACTGCAGTAAAATACAAGATTTCACTTTCAAAGTGGGGGGAATTGATTCTGTAACAATGATCTATTACAACAACTTCATCCCCATTATTCCAAGTAACAGCTATAGATTGAATCATTTTAATCGGCTAGATGTCGGCAGAGAACAGTGATAAGTTGCCTACTGTACCATCCTTTGCCTGTGACATCCTCGCTGACTTTGATAACAGGCCTATTACAAGTCCCGGCTAAACGTGAGACATTGGTCTCACTGAATTGCAGTATTACAGCTCTTTTTCCAGATGCCTTGTGAGCAAATGCTGTCCCAGTGGCTGAATTTGTATTGTTTAGCACTTAGTCAGGCACAAATTGCAGTAGCCGCCTCTCCGCAAACAATTGGATTAGCTGACACAAATTCTGCTTGGAAAAGCTGAGAATAAGTAAGTGACTGGATTTAAAAATGTCCTGTCCTAGAAAAAAACCTGCTTTATTCTAAGTACTTTTCAGCAAATCCATGGAAGCTGCTAAACCATTTAAAGGAATACATGGTCTTTAACCAGCATCGAACAGCAATGGCTATGACTTACACTCCTTTCTGGCAGTTTTACATGATCTACTTATATCTGCCATGTGAATATTAAAACAGGTCAGCCAAAAGAATGCCCTAGTTAGGAAGACACTTCTTATCTTGCAGAGACACAAAGGGGTGGGGAGCATCCAGCAGGCCCAACAGCCTGCCAGGTGCATGGGCTCATCTTGACCCAACTTTCATGAACATGCAACTTTGTACATGAAGAGTTCTTGGCTTTAGCAAACCAAGCGCATCCCTCACCACAGGAAGACTGGTCTGAAGAGTAATGTTTGTCAAACACTATAGTTACAGTGCTTTAGTTTATGCGCAAACCATGCATCATTCCTCAGAATTGTTTCTTCCAGCCCTTGGGGAAGGAGGACTACCCTCCCTCCTCGCAAGAGCACTTGGACCACAAAGGCAACTCAGAAGGCATGACCTGGACACTATGAAGACAGCCACACCATCCATGGGTGCCAGCTGGCTTGGCATGGCTTGTGTCTATGCATGTGAACTCTTACCCTCTAAAAATTGTCCCTGGTCCATGCTAATCTAGAAGGTGCTTGTAGGAATTGTTTGGGGAGTACTACTTGACATTGGCCAAAACCATGTCAGGGACCTTTCTAACACTGTAACAGTATGTGCAATCGAAGAACAGTGCCCTGGCCCGTGCTCTGGCACTGTTTTTTTTACTAGTCTATATGAAAACTCAAACGCAGAGGTCCAGTGGTGCTATGTATCTCACTGTGGAGAGGTCTCTGAATTAGCCTCGATCACATCTAGCCACAACGCTGATGGGCTGGAACAGAGAGGAACAGGGAGGAAGGATGAAAGAAAATCATGAAAAATGGGTTGAATGCAGGGACAGCTCATCTGGACCCTGTCCTCTTAAAAGCAAACATTTAAGATCAGTATTACCTGGGGTTTTTTACTAGTGTTAAATCCATAGTACTGTGGTAGTAGGATAGTTCTGTGGATGTCAAACACAGTATTTCAGTGCATATTAAATAATGCTTTCTCTTTATTGTCTTTGCTTGTATTACAACAGTGCACAGAGACTTCTCCTAAGATCTGTGGCCATTGTGCTAAGCACAGGTTACAAACATCATATAGTGCTTGTAACCAGGCTTAAGAATCAGCAAACACTGGGCAAGACAGATAAGAGATGGAGAAATAAAAATATTTCAGTCATCTCACAGATCCAGGGACAAAGACAAAGAAAAATGAGAGCTAAATGTCATATAGGAAAACTGTAACCAAACTGTGTACTAGTCCACTACTTTCACTGCAGGTTTATCATCCCTGTCAGTGGGAGAATGAGGCACTGAGGACATCTCGAAGGCGTCTGCCTGCAGAAGCACTGGGAGAGAATGGCACAACTCTTCGCTCGGTTGCCATCTCCATGTAGACTGTAAATTTATATTCAATCTCATAGGAAAGAGGTAGCATTTGTTCCAAGTAGGGCAACAGTTTCAGCAGCCACATTATCACAGTGGGAGAAGATCAGATTAAAGTGTGAACAACATGACATATTGCTCTTAAGCAGTAAATACAAAATTCCTACCTTAGAGCTTTGGTATTTATGTGCATAACTGTATTAGAATTGATGGAAGTTACAGTCACAACATGCTGTAGATCAACACTAGAACGTAACTCAAAGCACACAGATTTTTGACAGGGCATTTATTGGGCACCTAGTCATACAACTTTATTCTTGTACTGACACTTAAAATCTCCTGCTTCTAACGAGAAACGACAGACCTATAAAATCAAATTGATTGGATGAAGAGCTCCAGGCAAATGTATTAGTTTTAAAATCAAGTACATTCTGAAACAGGTTGCTTTACTTCCTTTGGTAAATAGCATTTGTTTCTGATTAGAGATTGTTCTAGTAAACACATAACAAGTTAAACCTACATAACATAATAGACATAAAATTATACGTAACCATCCTTAGTTGAATCCAAACTCCTGAGATTAACTGAAAATGAACTCCAAAGTATTGAGTGTTTTTACTGTTGAAGCTCAGCTGGCAATATCTGACATGAACATACACCAGGATGAGAGGCATGTATAGCATACCATAGGACACATGGCAGTCAGCCCCTGCCTTAAATGGGTAAATGCAACATGAAGTTTATTTCCCCTTGTGATAGCTAATGATGAACGGTAAAACATTAACATCTTACTTCTCCAGCAACTGCTACGAATTTCAAATTTCTTTTTATATATCATTGCAATGAGAACTTTTATGTATGTCATTAGACAGCTCAGAATTACAAACGCTGTTATAATTCCTCCTTAACTGTTCTCCAGATGTGCCACATTCCTACACAGCCTACCTCCTTATCGGGCCCCTCTCTCATGATTCTGCTCCCAGTACACAAAAGGATCATTCCAAAAAGCAGTTAAGCAAATGCTTAGGTCTCATGGTTTGCCACTGAACTTTTGTTTAGTATTTCTTCTGAATCAGTAGTTGTGGCATCAGTGTGCATTGGAAAGAAGAATTAATTCTGTCATCCAATTATTTTTTTCCTATTGCTAAACCCCAGGATTGTTTTAATAATACCTGAGGTATTATTACACTGCTAATCAGGAAAGTACTCCAGCACTTGCTTCACTAAATCCTAAATCACAGTCCTACTCTTCAGTCCAAATAATAAAAAGCATTTTTGCGTATGCCTAATTTTGAGCACAGAACTTTAACAAAACTAATCACATAATTACAGTTATGCTCAAGTTTAAGTGCTTTGCTTGATCAGAGCATTGGCTAGCAATCCTTTTTAAGTGTTCCATGCTGTAAAGTAATGATTATCTCTTAAGCAACTGTTGTCACATCATCCATCTCATTCTCATCTTCCAATTTCTTTCTTTTTTGAAAACACCTGGCTCGAGTGTTGATCACACTGACATCAGTGGCAGTTTTGCTGTGGATGGCATTGTGATCAGAAACTTCCTCCATAGATTTCCATTGGGCTGGGGGGCCTGGGAAGAGGTCTGAATATTCAATAAAACATGTTAATGCTTATTTTAACAACTGCAGTGGATAATACAGGTATTATTTCAAAGATACACATCAAAATTCCTAGAAGCTACCTGTAGTGGTTAAGAAAACAGATTTCCCAAGTGTTATAGCTTTTTCTGGTAGTTTAAATACCCAGCTTAGACATATGCTGCTGTCACTCTACGTGTATTTTTTCTTAAATAACCATGAGATGAGAGACAAGGGCATTTATGAAAGGTGGCTGTAACAGGAGAGGGCATGATTTTCATACATAAATTATTTTTAAAGGCATCAGGTTGTTTCTTTGAAGCTGACCCATGCCACCATTATGACCAGGTGTTATTTGCCCCCATTGCCTTTATGTTCTACACATCAGCTGTCGTCTCAGTGCATACCATGAGACAGCTCACGACTGTGCTCCCACACATGTCCAGGAGTCCATATTTTACCAAGGCCTCTCCTGCCAACAGGGCTGCTACCTGAAAGACCATGGACTACTTACCAGCTGCCTCTGGCTACTCTCTCCAATATTTCATGCACCACTTTCACACAGGGCACTGTTTCGGGTTGTTCCCTTCACCTGTATCTCCTGAGCGTGGTCCTCCCAGGCCCTGCTTGCTCCTGTTGTGGCAAGTCCCTTCATGCATCCCTGTCCTGGCACAGGATTCTCATACCCACCCACCCATCAGCATAAACAAGTACTTGCAGCTTTTATATAGGCTGAGTGATGCATGATCCTATGTAGTAAGTGTGTTTATGAGCCATGTAAATCTTTGACTACTCTTGAATGAAGTCTGATTTTAAATGATGGAAGACATCTTGAAATACAATTTATCTTGCTCCACCTTGAAGACAACGAGGCAATGGCTAATGACTTCAGCGGAGAAGTCACAACACTAAAATGTACACACTCAATCTAACCAACACTGTTCATGTCTGTTGATTTTAATAGCTCTTTTGACCAAAAATAAATCAAAAAAAGCAACAAGTTATATCTTTAATATACTTGGTGAAATAAACTGTTTGAGCTGCTTGGACATATTTTGACAAAAATTTACACTTATGATATACAAATTAATCCTGCCTCTATCTAACTTCCAGAAGAAGAAAGTAATTTAACATCCTAATTATTTAAAACCAAACACAGTATCAAAAATACAATATAATAAAAATAAATTTATTTATGCCATAATAGTCTGAATTATCTCAAAGTAAACTTCTACTGTGACTTTAAACTTCTGCAGTCCAGGTGTATTTGATTTTCCTACTTGAATCATGCACGTGTCATGAAATATAATTGTTTAAACCTCCTGATTAGCAGGAGCAGTAGCATTGGAAATTCATTGTATTTTCCTAGTAAAATATTGCAGAAAGGAGTATTAAGTGGGCAGCTTTAATGAATAGTTACAAATAGTTTACTTATACTAGAGGTTGTTTTTTCTCTCTGCATCAATTTGTAACTAGTTACAAGGAGAAATGTATTATATTTTTTTCTTCAGATTTTTTTATGTCCCTTTCAACTCATACATGCATGTACACACATGACCTCTCATGGTATAAATTTAACTGACAGATGGGGATCATGGATGGGATGGATGGGAAACTAAAGTATGTATCAAAGAAGACACAGTGAAATGGACTCCAGTTTTTTGTGTTTTGTGCTGAGACGCACAGACGTGTTACACGGACAAGTGAGAAGAACTGAGACTGGTGAACCACTTCAAGAAAACTGACTTACCTTCTTGTAGGCACACAGGTTTATCACTTGGTTTCCAGCTCAGGGAGCCATTAAAGTGTCTCACACAAAGTTTCTTTGAAGTACCATTAAGCCTGTATCCTTCTTGGCAATGAAACCGGACTACCACGCTTTCAAAGAAAACACCTGCACTGGGTGTCTTGTATCCATGTTCAGGAGCTCCAGGATCAGCACAAGCATGTAGGTCGTCAAACCCTATGTCAGACAAAGATAAAATCAAACTGTGTTCATTTACTTCTCATGCAGCCGTAGTTGTGCTTTTTCTATTTGACATTTAATCTTCATGGGGGCCTCATATCTTCCATTAATGACCACTACCAACCCTACTTGGGTATCGGGTGCTCCAGACTCAGGAGAGGATCAACATCCAGCTGCAACAGAAATACACAGCTGACAGAAATACTCCTATCTTGTTGTGCAGCTGCTGAGGAAGCGAAGTCAACCACACTCCTCAGTAGCTGATGTGGTTAAAAATAAAGCACCTGACCCAACCTACCAGTGGGGATTGCACAGTGATGTATCTGTAATTACTCCTGGGGACTATAGGACTTTGGAGGTCTGGTACAGTCACTGGAAAGAATAATGTGTCAGAAGCAGAGAGGAAGAGGAAATAAAGAAAAGGGCATGAAACCTAACTGCCATCCAAAAACTAAAACAGAAGATGAGCTGCCAGGTATAGGGCAATTTCGAGCTGGGAGGGAGCAATACCACAGGGAAAAGGGACACTGTGATGTTGGATGTACGTGATCCCCCTATCACATTGGCTTGGTGGCCCTACCAAATTCTTAAAACGCTGTTATGGGAGCACTGTATTACTGCATTGATGCCAGAAGGGAGTTTGTAAAGCCCTTTTCTTCCACAAAATTTACTGTAAAATAACAAACAAAAATCCAACAGTTGCAATCTTAAAATGTGACTGTTTATCACTTTATCAAACTCATTTCAATGTTATTTGCATAAACCGAAGCTTTTTTTACTGCAAAGCAACAAAGGTTTAGTGCAGCACTGAACAAGTACTGCATACTGGAAGAGCAAACAGCTTTGCAACAGCAACAGCAGGGGGGCAATTAATGCCAGTGGGAGGGATGCCTGGAAAATTCGAAAATCACTGCATTGTAGCTTTAATGTTTTGATTTTAAAAGAATAGTATCAGAGAGCCTCAGCTACTTCCTGCATGATAAGGATGAAGTGCCTCCATAGTACAGTCAGAGAGAAGGAAGATACTACAGTGGAATAGTTTTCAAAATAAATCTCTCTTTCCTGAGGCCAAATCATTCCCTCCACTGAAGTGCTCGGTGTGATGCTGTGGCAGCCAAATGGAGAGTGCTGCAGGTGGTAAAGGGGTCTTGTATTTAAACACTGGATTCCTCCCTTCAGTCCCCTCGCTGAAGGCTGCCAGTGGAGAACAGAAGCAGCACACATGGAGCCACTGTGTTTTATGTTCAATTACCTGGCCCCACTAGCAGAGGCAGGGCACACTGTGGGGTCACCAGAGAGGATTGCATTTTCCTGACTCCATATACAGCTGATTTTATCAGCGAGTTCAGGTCACTGCGCTGAACTCCCCCACCAAGCTACAATTTCCTGATGTTGACCTGAAGGTGACCTGATGGCCAGAACCCAGCCTGTATAACTAGGTGCCATGGATGCTGGAGAGAGCCATCACCAACACCCAGCCTCTGCCCCTCTGCAGGGCTCCAATACCTGAGCCACCTCACCTAAAAATATTTCACTAGTGTCCCCTCACTTTGCACTGCTGAAGAAGCACAAGAGCAGCAGAGCATCTGGTCTTACACAGTTTTACTCCTCTGTCCAGAGAAGTTTACTGTAGGAACTGAACTTCACACCCACTCATCTGCCACATGGCTCAAGACGTCCAGTGCAAACTGCCCAAGACTCTCTACCCTTTGCTAACATGACAAACGAGGAGAAATAGTTATTAAATTCATGGGATTACACACTGTAGGCAATACTTAATAATAGCGAAGGGCCGTGCATTTTTACTGAGATTAAAAAGAAGCTTCTTATGCTTCAGGTGGCAAACCCACATCCTCCAATAAAGTCAGTGATGATCTTATTTATTTTCCATTAAACCTCGGGATAACATGACATTTAGCTCAATTTTGTTACTTTGGCAATCTCAGAACTTGCAGTCAGGCAATGAATATTATAACCCACCTTGAAATATGTGTCCTTTCTTACTAGCTGCATCAGGGAAAAGTACACAACTGCCTACTATTATGCCTCTGGAACAACAGAAAAAAAGTAAGGTGCTGAGGTCACATACAATTTGCCTGGTAAAAAAATGAGCCAAGTTCATTTCTCAGTTTTCATTAAGTCAAATATGCAAAGTTAGAGATTTTGGGACCGTCAGCACAAAACCCAGCATAGAAGGCAAGAATGTTTTTATCCCTGGTGCAGCCTAATTCTGTGACCCTACTGCCATTTTCTGGTGACCTTTCACAAGCAAAGATTTTCATTCCTCCTAGGGATCATTTTGCAGTAAGTTGGTCTCTCAGGTTCTTTTTCTCGAGTGCAATTTGTGAGCAGAAAAATCTATCCCCAAGGGGAATTCCCAAGAAGGAACTGGAGCACAAATGGAAAAAATGAATTACGTACCCTCTAGTTTCTACAAAGCCAGCAGCCAGCTGTTACTCAGCTACTGAATAAGAGATGACACATGGAATCAGCACAGGATCACTACTTCCACGCAGCATCTCCACTGCTTGTTCTTGAAGCAAGGAAGACGGAAAAAGCCTCAGGGAATAGCCAGCTGGGCAGATTACACATGCAATACAGTAACTTCTCCTGGTAACATCACAAAGGCAAAGCAAACAAACCCCCAGCCCCATAATTTCTCCGTAGATAGCAACAGTAGACTTGGCCCCAATATTAGTCATACTAAAATCAATGGAAGTCACTTGTATGGCAAGTCTCTGTTTGAAGATGTGTATGATCCAGGCACAAAGCAGTGAAGCCCACACTATGTCACCTCTTCCTGTGCTTGGGCTGAGAAGGAGGCAAGGACATGTGTGAGGGAGGTAGAGCGAGGCTGGCCGCTGTGCTGAAGATCTCCCAGTGCACAGAGGGCACTGCGGGGGTTTTGAAGGGGCCATTACAATCCGGAGAAGCCAGGAGCTGCTCTGATTTTCACCAGGATTGCTTCTCTCTTGCACAAGAGGAGTGCTGAGTATTTCAACAGCTTATTTAGCTGAGAGCTAAGTCCATCAGTCTTCTCCAATTTAAGTACAAAACTTCTGGCACAACATTCAAGAACAACAATGCTGAAACATCCCTGAGAACTGCCATCTTCCAGTTATCCTTAATGACATCAGACTTGGACCATTTACAAAATAATCTCATATAGTTAAGCTCCACCCTATCAAAAATGAGTAAATGCATGTCTTCAATGAAATACAGCTTGGCAAATTAAGTCTTTTTTTTCTCACGATCTTTAATTTCTTTCCTTTTTCAAAGTGATGCATTTAAGAGCAGCTGCTCAAAGTTGTGATACAGTATTTTTATACTGGCAGGAGTAATCTCACCTTATAGATGGGACATCTTTTGCTTTGGTCCCTTTAGAACCTGATGAAACCAGCCGAAACAGTTTTCAGCCAGAGCTACAAGATAAGTCTTTGGAAAGAGCCATAAAAGTTACATAAATGGGAAACCTGATCTGTGGCAAGACATTATCCTGCAGGAAAGAGTATATAGAGAAGATAAAAAATAACTTAGATCTACAATGGATTCTGTTTCAATGAAATTTTACTTTGACTACTGTACTTTTTCTCACGGTTACAAAGAACGAAGGGGCAAACATCATCACCTACTAGTAAAAACTATATAACACACTTGTCAAATAAAGTAGTAAATTTTCATGTTACCTACATAGTAAAAATTTAGTAAGGTCAGCAGCCTTCATCATAATCAATACTGCATTACTAATGTCAATAACAGCTTAATACTTAGTCTAAGTTGCAGACTTTCTGTATCATGGCACCTTTAAGGGATGTTGTGTAAAACATAAGGAACAATAATACCTTCTAATAAGGTTAACGAGTACAGAAGGTCATCATCGCCAGTAAAACAGTTGATACAGAATATATTTTGGTCAGGAGGTCATCAGAAAATAGCAATGCCCTTAGCCTGGATAAAATACAAGCAGTTTATATGGATTCCCATTTTACCTATATTACTTGGTATTGTCAGTCAGATAAAAATGATGTCAAATTAATCAGAAGATGAAAAATAAGCAATGACCTCCTTGGGGTGTAAAATGAACCATTATAATTCATTTGAACAGACTGTATTTCTAGAATTCTGCGTAATACGTTCTCAAACATATAATGATTCATCTCGTCCCTGATGAAAAGCTTGAAATACTGGGAGCCAGGAGAAAATTACATATTTGTGATGACAAGAAATCATGATAGCCACAAGTGAACTGCAGACATGTCTGAAACAAGGCAGGAGGAAGAATCCCTCAGCTCTTCCTGTCATTCTCTATTTCTCCACAACTTTTTCTCAGTTTCTTCTTTTGTTTTCCCTGTTTTCCTCTTCCCTCAACTCCGTATCTTACAGCTCCTTGTAAATTCATGGTGCTGGCGAGGTGATTTCTAATCTAGATTTGATGGACTTCTTTGCCACTAAAACTGCCACACAGCATTTCACTAACACACTGCTGATGCATCTTAGCTCAGAAACGGCTGCACTCATTCTTGAACAGAGACATCACTTTCATTTCAGTTTGTTACATAGACATAGTGAAGGAAAAGTGACATAAATGTGTAATAA